TGAAATGTTTAATTTTGAGTAATTTTGTTATTTATTTTATGACTGACACTAAAATGCGTTCTGGTATTGCCACTCATATTTTGTTTAAAATTTAATTTTTTAAATAATGTACGAGTACAAAATGAACGTAAGCAAATTCGAAAAAAATTTACAAGACATCACAATGAATTCTAATTTAAATAAAATAAAAATTTAATTTATTTTCAATTATTTTAAATAAAAATTTTATTATGCAATAAAATAATACAATAGAAAAAGTACACTAGATATATGTACATATAATTTACAAAACACATTAATATTTCTGTACAGAGTGTTACAACAAACTTTGCAATCATTTTAAAACCATAAACAAAAAAAATATTTTGGTAGGAATTGGTAACATTCCCAAAACAAATATTTTATTTCTCACATTATATTCACATATTCTTGGTGTACACCCCCTTCCTCCCTCCTCTATTACATTTGCATATTATATTCTTGAAAATTTTCAATTCATTTAAGAAAATAAAAATGTAATTTTGTTATATAAAAAATTCTTTTATAATTTTTTTTTACTTTTCTTCCTACAATATAGAACTTTCTCTTTTCATTTTGTATCCTATTTTTTTCCCTTTTACACTTTTTAATAACAATATTCTTTTACATATTGTAATAAAAAAAAATTTAAATAAGTATATAAGTGGTTATGTATGAAAATTTTATTAAAACACTGACTTCATGATCTAAGGACATTTTTAATATATTAATAATAAATTAGGCAAATGAAATATTATAATCGGTTTTTAAGACAAAGGCAAATATAATTTAGGTGAAATTCAAATAGGAAGAATAATATATATGTTAATTTATGTTCAACACAGCTTCTGACAATTATAAGATAACGTGTGCAATTGTAGATTATCACAACGAATAAGTAGGTGTAGTCCCAGCAATATGAATAACGGAGAAACTGTGATAGCAGTAAAGAAATTGAACCAATATTGGTATTTCAAAAAATAAATGGATGTTGATAGAACACAATATTGTACAGATATACCAATATTGATACAACAGCAGGAGCAACAACGTTTAAGTGGCTTTCCAAATTGCTCAAAAATAAATGTGCCAGCCAAAAATTGAGAACAAAGTTGAAAGATTGTATTGTCTGACTTAATATAATGCAATTTCATTATATCAGTTAAAAGAAATTCACCACATTCATATCAATTTCGTGAATTGACGGCGAGACATGATGTCTATTTAACAGTGTTAAGCAAAGAGATCACTATAATAGAGACGCAATATGTAAACGAAAAACTTGTTATGAGAAAATAATTTTTTAATATCATGAAAAATCCCCTAATTTCTCATTTTTTTGTCCTTATCTTTTATACAATGCAAACTTACATACAAATCTTCGATATATATTTATTATTCAACCTTGAATAAAATATTTTAAAACATCTGCCTCAAGTCAATCTAATTTTCTTATATAATATTTCATTTTGTTTTGGTCTTCTATATTGTACTTAAGTCTTCCATAATTTGGAAAATTTTTATATTGAGTTGAGAATTTTCTCATTTACCATTTTATTTTATTCATTTTTTTGTTATACATACTTATTTTTATTTATCGTTTGTTATATTGTATAAATTTTCAATTTGTATAACAATAATAGTAATATTGCCATTAGATTATAATCAATATATCTGTCTCTTTTCGTTACATACAATTTTCTTTTAGATTATCTTGTTTAAAATGGGAAAAATAAAAAATCCTTTTTCTTTTCGGTTTCAATTTTTTTGTTATCGTTGTTGTTGTTCTTGCCTTAAGGTTATATGAAAGAAAATGAAATTTTCTTTATTTTCATATGATAAAAATTGCATAAGAAAAAAAAAAATTATTTATTATATTTTTTTTTGTATCCTTTAGAATATTTTTTATATTATATTCGTATATAAACATTTAATATTGTTATACAAAGAAAATATGTAAATTTTCCTGAATATCACAATTATTATGAATATATAAAAGTTAAAAGAATCACAAGAAAAAAAAAATTATTTTAAATTTATTTATATTTTAAGTATCCACACCCATATTTAGGAATATTTTTTTTTTTCAGCTCCCTTCCTCCATCTTTATTAAATTCATTCCACCATTTTCCTTTGAAATATTTATTATTACCGTTATGATTTCTCTTGTTTTTTTTTCATATTTATTTTACTTTGTTATTTTTTCTATATAGAAAAATGTAAAATGGGGGGCCACCTTTAATGTACCATATATGCATACACTTATATAAAATTATTTATAATATTATATTGACATTATTATGTTATTTTCAATAGAGTTGCCATATATCAAAACTATAGGAATGATATATCTTTACTATAGTTTTGATATATGGCAACTCTATTGAATATAAATTTCTAATTATAAATAAACTGATATAAATTTCTAATTTCTAGAAATGGCCATTTTGAACATAAAATTAATTAATTAAATTAACCTCTGATTTCAAGGAAACATGCGTAAATCCAAAAATGAGAATATTAATAATGAAAATATTAATTTTTTTTTTCTAATAAAATAAAATAAAGAACTCAAATATTGATAAATTTTTAAACCCGACGACTTACAATTTAAGAATGATTGCAGCTTTTTAAACTTTTTCTCAGAATTTTGGAAATTAAATTATCCGGTTTCTAGCAGAAAATAAACTAAACTATACGAAATTTGATATTGCTATAAAATATAAAACGAAATCAAACTCGACTTACTGAACTTATATTTGTGACTTTAAATCTCAACCGCTATAAGGCAACCGTATTTTCTTAGCATCACTAAAAATTAGGCAGTCGGAACATAGGCCGTGGAAAAATTTTTAAATATTGGCAACTATAAAATTTTTTTTTTGTATTTACATTTATAAAAAAGCGAAAATAATATATTAAAAACAAAAATTAAAACAGGAAAATGGTTGGGGAATGAAACTTAGATGATCACAAATGAAATAAAGAAATTCTTTTATTTATTGTTCTTTTTTATATTCACATACACGTACAAAAAAAATATATATAAAGGTTCATTCTACCCCCCATATATCACACATATTTACATAAATATTCTATATAGGGTGGCCATTTTATATCCTTAAAGCAATATGTATTACAAAAATATAACAAAGCAATGTAAAAAAAAAAATGAAAGAAAATGCAATAAAGCTCTAAAAGGATACACCATAAATTTTACATCTCCGTCTCCATATCATGTAGATACCCTCATATATTTCAATGTAATTTTGAATGATGATAAGGTCTTGATTATTATATAAAAAAAAATTTGAAAGAAATCTATAAAGATGGAGAATATTATATAATAAAAAAAAAAAATAAAAATAAAATATTAAATTGAAATAAAATGAAGTAAATAAAGTTGCTGCTTTGGGAAAATTTCTTTTTCTAAAATTCAATTCAGTCAGTAATGTACTTTCAATGCTTTCAATTTTATACAAATAATTTTTCTTTTTATTTCTTGCACATTATTATAAGTAGCACATGCATCTATATTTATGTGTATATGTGATATGCACTACAAATTAACAAACTCATAAGATCATCGGTCGGTCGGGTATTTAAATTGAATCGCAAAATATTTTACGATTTTTATAATAGCCTTCTAAAAAGTATATAAAAAAAAATGAGAAAATATTCTATTGTAACTTCTTGCATTAAATATACCTACATAGGTATGTATGATGCTAATGTATGCTGTTGTATGTGTGGGTACTTGGAAAAAGAAAAAAAAATTATCATAACTTTTTTCTTGTGTGAACTTTTAAAATGCAATTTTATTGCTGAAAATGCATAACATTAAAATTTTATTCAAGGATAATGATAATGCGATTTTAAAATAGGTTAGGTTAGGTTAAAATAACGCGGTTCCCTAAAGGGTAGACTTGGGCCATTGTCACCTCCATTAGAACCAGTCCAAGTTTCTTAGAAACCATTTACACTCGTTAAGTCCGTAGCCCGCTAAATGAAGTAAAATCCAAGAAACTTTTGTCTGAAGTTCACCAAAGTTCATCCTCCTCTTAGTCACAACAGCTCCTATAGAAATCGGTTGCGGCTCATCCTCTTGGCAGGTTCGCCAATTAGACAGTGTCCCGTCAGAAGCCTTAATACCTTTGATCAGACATATCATATCCTTTGTGCGATGCAAGTCTACCAGGTCTTTGTCGCGTTGCACATTATTCCGTTTTCCACTGACCTCCAATAGGTGGTTGTAGGAATACCAAGGGTCTCTTTATCAGAAAAAATCCAAAGGGTTTTTGCATAAGCAACGCAGAGCCTCCCTAATCGCAGTCAGCTCTACCAAAAAGATGCTACAAATACATGGCAAACTGAAGGAGAACTCAACATTCAATTCCTCAGAGTAAACTTACCAAACTACCTTTTCATTAAGTTCGAATTCATCCGTGTAAAAATCAAAATCTTCGTATCGCCCAGTTTGCCACGGCAAGATCTAAGACCTAAAAGTCTTCAAGAATGACAGCACACGAGGAGCAAAATCAGTTATCTTCATCTTGAGCTCGCAGTTCGCACAAAGTGGAAAAATGTCTCCACCACTGTAATGCAGCTCTGAATTATATTGCGGATTCCTCAGCCATCTGCCAACCTAGATGGGTATATCTGAATACTTATACTTTAAGTAAGGACTCGTTCTTAAAATTAATCTTTTCACGAAAGTAAATCAATGCGTACTCTTGACTAATAAGTAATATTGCAGTAAAGTTATGGACTTATATATACATATATTAGTAATGCTTCTAAAAGCCGCCCGTCCATTATTTGTTCCGATATATATATACCGAAAAATATAAATAGAGTCGATGTACGACCAAACTCATTCAAATATTAACTTCAAATAATACTTAAAATTATATTACATAGTATAAAATAAATTTTCCGTAGCATTTTATTCTCATTATACGTAATTTCTTTTGAAATTTCAGGTATGGTTTCAAAATAGGCGAGCCAAATGGAGAAAAGCTGAACGTCTCAAAGATGAGCAACGTAAACGTGATAATGGTGATGGCACAATGTCATCCGATAAAGTAAATTTTTTTTTATATTGTCTTTTCTTCATTTTTTCTATATTGTCTTCAAAACTATTTCCAATTTCAGATTGATGAAAGTCGTGATTCATCACCAGATATAACTGGTGAAATTGATGATGAACCACGTAGTCCACATAGTGGTCCACCAAGTCCATCACGTGCTGATTCTGATATTGATCGTCCATTATCATCAACACAAATGACACAATCAGCATCACAATCTGGTTCTATAAGTGCTGGTTCACCATCACCTGGTATCCGAACACCATTGAATTCTGTAACACGTAGTCCAACGAATTCACACAATACCGATTCACCAATTGAAGTTGGTGGACCAGTATCATTAACAACAACATCACGTACATCGAATACAATACCGACACCAACATTTGGCAATCATATATTTAGTAGTTTTAATGAAAGGTAAGTCAAAAAATTTATTTACAATTTTTTTTTATTTTTAAAAAACATTGTTATGAAAAAAGGGCATTACAAGGAACATTCTTAAATTTTATCTATTATTTTAGAAATATGTAAATATTTTGTATTGTCGGGCTCTTTCAGTATTAAGAAAATCATACCCAATTCTTAAGAGATGTCTCCGATCCTAAGTGTGTAAGACCAGGATGATATAGGTGATGATTTAAAAGCTACAATGAACAATTGTTGTTCATACGTGACTGAAGTCATCATAAGAAGAACTATTCTTTTGCTCATTATATTTACCCATCAGAAATCTACATTCCACACACCTCAATGCTTCTTGTAATCAAATTTTTGATTCTAGAATATCAACATAAAATTACTCTTTTGTTCAAATTTCATTTCTACAACTAACTACTCACAAAATATCGTAATTAACTGTATGCTACCAATAATAAGTGTCATTATCTTATTAAATAATTTATTAAATAAAAATATTTCAAAGACTCATACCGGAAACAAAACTTAAATGAAAATATCATTTAAAAAAATCTTTATTGAAACTTCTATACCAGCAATTCTCTATATTATTATAATACCAACAAAACATCATATCCGAAAGAGATTTAACAATGTAAAATTTCTCTCACTTTATGTACCCCACTTTGAATTGACAATTATTACCCAAAATTAACAAAAACATTTCTTTTATTTTATTATTATCCTTTATTATAATCATATCCTTTTTTAATTCCCCTTGAATATAAAATGTTTGTATATAATAACGTATATATGTAGCATAGACTAAAACAATTTCCTTTTTGAATTTTATAATCTATGTCATTTAATTCAACCGAAAAATTCTACTAAATCTTTTCTTTAATTTTCTTTCTCTTCTTTATTATTTTGTTGATTTGTTTTTTTTTTTTATTTTATTTTGAACTTAGACTAGACTTAAAGTTCCACTATACTTATGATATCTACTAGAATTTATTGAAACTTTCTCATCATTTCAATTTTTCTCAATTTTTTACCACAAATAGAAAGCCAGAGAGAAAAGATATGGTGTTAGGGATCATAAAATAATTGTGCAGAAAAGCAGAAAACAAAATGAGAAATACAAAAAGAAAAGAAAAAATATTCTCTTCTCTAATAAACTCTTGTTCCTATGTATATGCACACTCTGTGTACAAAAGAAACAAAAAATATTGTAAAATAGAAAAACAAAACGGTAAATTCTAATTGCTGGACCGCCCGTTGGGTTGAAGAGTGTGCGCAATATAAACGAACCGGAAAAAGAAAACGTAAAACAAAAAACATGAAATACTCATGAAATATTAACGGAATAAATAATGATAAGAATAAAAAAAATAAAAAAAAAACAAAAATGAATTTAATCGTTATTATAACCACCAACTATAAAAAGGATATACTTAAGAAAAAGCAATACATACATATAATATCCTTGTTGAAAATTCCGTTAAAATTATAAAATATTTTAAGTATTAATTTATAATAAAAGTATAAAATTGCATTTAGATTTTTCAATAGTGTTAATATAATGTCGTCTTTTAATTACAATTTCCACTATGTAAACATCAAGTATTGTAATAAAGGATAAAAACTAAAACTTTGAGCAAAATATTCTATACAGCATATGTATGTGTTCGAAAGAGGAAAATTTATTGAAATTTTAAGGATATTTACTTCAATTTTGTAAAAAATTTCAATATGTTATCTGTATAAATTAACAAATATGCTTAAATGTTGCAGTAAAGGTCCGAAATTGTTGAAATTTTGGGAATACAGTGAAGAAATTTCAATAATTTCAAATTACCTAACACCATGATCTTTGAGGTAGTCGAAGTATATCATTCCAAATGGATGGTTCTAAAAATTGAACTGCCGCAGTATTTCTGAAAAAGATCATATCAAATATTTAAAAATAATAATTGCTTAACATAACGTTTAATTTTAAAAGCCATTTTGCCATAACAATAATTACCCACGTCTTTTTACCGTAAGAAAAAGAAAGTTACTGCCTTTCTGTGTTTAAAAAATTTGAAATTCCTTTCTGTTTTTAATATCTTAGCTAAATATGTGGAATTACCATGCAGTTATACATGATTTGGAGGTGTAAAACAAAGTTACGCTCATTTGGGCGCAAGATCACATCGTAATTCAGAGAAATGAAGTCACTGACGAGCTAAAACAAGAGGCATCTTGGACCGATTTCATAAGGTCTTCTCTATTTTATTTTCTGTGTTAACAATGGCTATCATCGATATGATTGCTGGCTATTAAGACTTGAAGACTGACTGTAGTTGGAATGCGACAAACATTAGATTAATTACACTTTATTAAGCATAGTAGGATTAGATATTACACTTAATTAACCGTTGCATGGACAAGCAAAAAGATGACACACACAACAAAATTAAACTAATAAACATAATATTTTTCAAATTTAAAAATTATTTAAAAAATAGAAAACCAATGATTTTTATAATTTAACACTTAACATATAATGAATTTAAAATACATATTTCGAATATTCACTGTAAATACATGAAGCATTCATTATACAAACAATCCGATATAATATTGTCAAAATAGAAAAAAAAAATTAATATAAAACTAACAAAGATTAAAGATTACAACAATAATAATCACACTGTATGACGACAAAATGAGAAAATAATCTTTGCAATAGGGTTGGAGAAACAAAAATAGGATTAAATAGTGTGATGTTAACTAAATTTTACTACACTATTACTTAAGGACAATTTTGTATTCGCCCATATAGAAATTATTCTTGTAAATATATATGTGAAATAAAACTATTATCGATAAACAGATTTTGAAATGACTTCCTGCTAAATAAACACATACATAATACATTCGTATTAAATAATTCAAATGCATTCACTATATTATTCCTTAATACTATTATTTATTTTATTTTGAAAGGAAATATCCTTTCAATTTTTACCACTAAATCAATTGAAATATTACAATTTTACTTAATAGATCCTTTTACTCTTATAAAATGTATATACATGATTATATAAATTGTGTATTTTGCAAATAATAGTAATAAATTATCTTATGATTTCCGAATATTAAAACGATTGATTATTTTACAATATTAAGAATACAAATAAATTGATTTAGGGAGAAATTAAAAAATCTTTTACGTTCATCAATGTTATTATGAATATATCATTAAAATTCATGAAACGTATAGCATGTACTCGTATATAGCCATTATATTAAGTTAAATTAATTATTTATTTATACATGATTTGTATATCATTGATTATATAAAGTAAAGCCCAATAATAAATCAGAGAAATATTCGAAATTTCAGTAGTACAGTAGATATAATTGATTAATATATACATATATCGTATATTAAAGTTCAAAGTTTATATGCGATGATGTCAAAAATAACTATTTATTTACAATAGGGTTTTAGATTTTCTTTCAAATTTAGATAATTATTAATTTCATCAATATTTAAACTATTATTTGGTAATTATCAATTCAGTTAATGAAAACATGCAGAAGTAGTAAAAAATTTGTTATTTTATGATAATTTTATGAATTTTATAAATAGTTATACTAAATAAGAGCAGAAAATTTAGTAAATTTAAGAATTTAATTATATTATTTATTATTTAATTATCATTTATATTATATAACTAATATCTAACGTTAGAACTCGTTATTTCGGATCCCTATTACGGGATATCTATGAATATATTATCTGCAAAGTTGTCAAATGAACGAAATAACTTGATTTCGAGTTAGAATTAGGTACAATTAAAATTTAAAGAATCACGGCCAAATGCTTAGTTTTAGGTAAACTTAACACATTAAACTTAAACCAAATATTATTTTATAAAACCCTTATTACGTTAAAATTTACTACACATTAAAAAAACTTCAAAACTTTCATAATAAGTACTTGTTAATCATAAAAATTCTAAATTTGACAAATTAATTTGATTTCTTTGAACACAATTTTTAAAATTTTAACCCACACCCCCCCAATTTCTCAATAAATGATCTCAACAAAAGTTTTTCACTCTATATATTCTTTGTTTAATACTGACACATTGTGTCAAATAAATAAAATTGTTTTGTAAAAGAAAATTTTCTTCTCCTTTTTATTATAATTAATTTTAATTGCTCAAAATTTAATTTTTACTTCATTACTGCTAAACATAATATATACAAACATACACTCTTTTATTCTCCCCAAAATATTATGAGTTTCTTTTAATTACACGTTTATACAAACGCGTAATAAAACTCATTTCTTAAATAATTAATCAATTTACACCCAAAAAAAAAATATTATAAGATAATTATTAATTAATTCTGACACACTTTTTTAATAAACTCCAACACTTTTTATATGTTCATACATATATACATATTTAAAACCATCTTTATCATTTTATATAAATTGTAAAATTTCATTTGACACATTCCACATCACATAACACTATTATGCTGTCATACTTTTAAATTAATTATAATTGTTGTGTATAGATGGTGTATTCTCGAGTATAAAAGAATGTCATATGATTTTGTATTTAATAAAATATTAAAATTTTATAACAATAAAAGTCAAAAAATAATAATTTCTTATAATTACTTTTAATAGAATCAAAAAAAAACATCAAAAAAATTTATTTTTTTTTTTGAAATGTTGCGCTTGACGCCGCCGCCTTTTAATATTTTATTTTATAATTTTTAAGTAAAAAACGAAAACAGAAAATAATAAAAAAATTCTTTTGACATTTAAAGGAAAAATTTTATTTATACAATTAATCGGGTTAAATTTTATTCACATATCTAATTCATATTTCAAATATATGTATATATATATACATATATATATATAATTGTATATAAGAGCATTATAATATAAGAGCATATATACGAGTACATGTAATTATAAAAGAGCAATGTTAAATTTTGTAAAAGAT